GCTGCGCCCCTGGGCTGTCGGCCCGGGCCCGTCCTCCGGACCCCCTCCACCCACCCTGTTGGCCCTAGTTTTGTTTAGCAGTTCCTGTAGGTAGGTGGGGCCAGTGTGGTTGATGGCGTTGAAGACCATTATGAGGACTTTGTAGTTGATCCGGTGTGTTGCAAGGAGCCAGTGGAGTGAGTGGAGGATGGGGGTGATGTGATCTGATTTGCGTGTTTTTGTGAGTATCCGGGCGGCACAGTTTTGTACATATTGTAGTCTCTGAGTGGTTTTTGCTGGAATGCCTGCAAGCAGAGAATTGCAGTAGTCAATGCGGGAGGTGATGAAGGCATGGAGCAGTTTTTCTGCGGGAGTGTCGTGTTTTGGAGATGTTCCTCAGGTGGTAGTATGAGGCTTGGCAGACCGTCTTTATGTGTGCTTGGAATGAAAGGGATGAGTCCAGTTTCACACCAAGGCTCGTTACAAGTGGGGAGAGGGGAATGGAGTGGCCATTGATGCTGATATGAGGGATATCAGTTTTGTGTGTTTGATGTGGTGTTCCAATCAGAATGGCCTCTGATTGGCTGCTATTCAGTTGGAGGGAGTTGTTGCTTATCCAGTGGTACCAGATGTGCCAGATGTTTATCCGGGGCAGCTTGGAAATAAATCTGTGTCATCTCATCTTAGCACATGAGTTGATTTCCAAGTAATCACACAACTGATCTGATTCATTCTCACTCACTTGAATATTGTATACGTTGTGATGTCATTTAGCTAATCATCTCTTTAACCTGAACTCATCATGTTTTACTGACGGTGTCAACGAGGTGTTGATTCAGATCTATGGTCTCTCTGGAGGCTGTGCTTTGTGTCTGTAATGAACTGCATTATATTCCATGCTCATCTAATATGTGCATCCTCTTCACTTGTGCTGTTTATTTCTGTCTTCTTCTAGTTTATAATGAAAGAGAGTAAAACAGTTATTTTGTTTTAAAAACTCACACTGATTTCATCCATCTGTGTTTTCTTCTCTGAAAATAAAAGAGAGAGAGCCATATTTAGTTTCCACAATTAAAAAAATCCAGTTCTTATTTTTACGTTTCATCTGTGAATGTTCTCACCTTCAATTCTTGTCCATATGTTGACCGCCACAACGATCATAATGAGAGCTGCTAAACCCACAGACACCACGATGAGCATCAAGAGACCTGGAGAGAATACACACATGGAAGATATTCATGTTGTAGCTTTTAGAGTTCAACATAGCAGAAACTGCCAATTCATCAACACAGAGTGAGTTAATCAAATAACTGTTTTCTTATTTATTCCATTAGAAAGTTAAGAAGCTAGGGGGGAAAGAAGGACGAAGAAAAAAAAAAAAATGTTTGTCACTACCTTGTAGCTCAGTTGGAGCGTCGCTGATCACTGAAGGTGTCGTAGTGGAACCTGATTTGATTTTGTTTTCAGTTCTTGGTTTTGTGTCCTCACCTGAACAGATGAACAAAAGTCTTCAGTCACAAACTGTCTGCGCCGTGAACCTTTGCACCGTTAAAATGTGAAACTAAAACTTCTAAAATAAACCAAATGTTCTCACCTGAGGAAGAAGGGCTGAAGGGAAACAGGGAAACGTATCCTGTGTGAGTATCAGTTAGTTGACAAGTAAATAAATGAAACCCTGATGTGTAACCAACATGAGAAGTCAGAAATGTCACAGAGTCTTCTGATGTCTTCATATCTTTTTGATATTCATCCACATCTCGACCCTGAAGCAGCCACTTCACTCTGTGTCTGCACCACNGTGTGCCTTGGCAGTCTCAGATGTCACAGAGTCTTCTGATGTCTTCATATCTTTTTGATATTCATCCACATCTCGACCCTGAAGCAGCCACTTCACTCTGTGTCTGCACCACCCGTTAGTCGTCACAGAGCAGCGTAACGTCACCTCATCAGTGTCCTGATGTTCAGTCACTGAAGATGGAGATATTGAGAGAGAAAGACAACAAGAGTTAAATTATCTTCATCCCTGTAATCATAACGGCTGTAATGTTTCAGTATATTGCTCTAAGACACTGTGATGTAAATACTCACTGGTAACAACAGACAGGTAGACCAGAGCGTCTTCTCCTTGTTGTCGTCCTGATCTGACCTGTCTGCAGGAGTATTGACCAGCATCCTCCTCTGTGACCTCCTTTATACCCAGAGAACACTTCTCTGTAACTCTCAGTCTGTCTGATTTAGCTTTGGCTTCTTTACCAACCTGCCCACGGTCCACCAGCGTTACTACTGCTGTGCGTCCTGATTCGCTGTAGAGCCAAGTAGTACCATCACATGTATCCTGATGATCCATCACATTGGTACAAGGAAAAGTGACTTCATCTCCAACTTTGACAGTGAAGAAACGCTTTCCGGTTACTGCTGCTCGGAAAATGAGAGGGAATAAGAAAGAATGCACAGGACAAACTATTTTTAAAAACACTTTTAAAGTCATGGGTAAGATCATTTTCAGATGCACGGTACATGGTAGTTATAGCGATGGAAATCTTTAGTCCCAGGCTCCTCAAACAATGCAAAGTAAATATATATATATATATAAGACAAAAGAAACTATAAAAATACTGCAACAGAAACAGAATATAAAAATAGTGCAAGAGATGTGTAAGAAGTCAAAAGAATAAGATGAGCTAAATCATAATGTAAAATGAAATACTGTTTATTGTAATAATGAATACATTATTTTCAATAAGTACCTTATTATTGGTTTAGGAGTTCATTAAACTCACCTTTTACCTTCAATGAAACGTGGCTGTCTTAGTTAAATAGCAGTTTGTTTATAAAGTACAATTTACGATATCAGAAGATACGCTTTTAAAATGTTCCTGTTAGCTATATAGATCTGACATGTACTCTTACCTGTAAGCTGAAGCAGCAGAATGAGAAATAAAGACATTTTATTTGTGATTCCCATCGTGATTCTCCGTCTCTCTGCTTCCTCTGCCTCTTGTTCTGATGACTGTCTGTGTGGAACAGCTTCCTCTGCCTCTTGTTCTGATGACTGTCTGTGTGGAACAGCTTCCACTGCCTCTTGTTCTGATGACTGTCTGTGTGAAACGGTTTCCTCTTAAAGATGATGCTTCTTCATTCTGTGATT